GATAAGGGTGCTCTGGCTTGCAGCTCAATTACATTTGACTTTCGGACTCATTTGACTCCCCTCTTCAGAATGACTGAGAATATTATCTTTTCCAGTAAATTGCCTCATTTAGACGCTACACTACTCTCTATTTCTGCTCCAAGGTCTTCCATTTCCACATCAATTCAGAGTAGGGGGAGGGAGGGTGGCAGAAAACAAGTTTGGTTAACACTATCTATTCATTCACATTGTATGCACCTTCTCCCAGGTTTTCTGTTTGGAGCAGAACAAACTACCAATACACCCATAACACTTCCTTGGTTTTTTCCCCACAAACTTAGTGGCACTAACAAAAATCTGACCAGTGTTTAGGGACCGGTATTTTGAGAATACCGACTCTCACGCTGACAAATACTTTCTTCCTTAGCTACCTATTTAAAACTCTGTTCAGAATTCTGAAGCCTTTATATTCTAAAGCACCTACTATGACAGATTCCTAGCATATACTTAACGTTTGTACATATTTTTAAAAAGTAGAATATGATTAATAACCCAGGATTATTGCCACACAATAGTTCCTATTGCCAGAGTTCAGTAATTTAGATTTGACGTTAGCTACTTTACGTTAAAAAGTGAGGACAGGATGTCTTGTACCCACTAGATGTCCTTTTATTTAAAAGAACTAGGCAATTCCCCCTCCCTCAGCACATAATGCAGATCATGGCTGAGGAAGATCTAAAGCAATGCTACAGCTGCTTAGCTCTACCCCTGCACTAAGTTCTGCATTCATTTCTGCTCTAGTCTGTATTTCTATTTTATAATGAAACATACAGCCTAGTTATTTATAGGCTTTCTGAGGATTAACTACACGCTCATAAGAATAAGCCCTCAAGAGGTTAACCTCATCCTCTTAAGCTTCACACACTACAATCCCAGAGATAGCTGGCAACCACAGGCAAGAGAAAAAAAATAATCCCGCATCTTGCTAATCCTTTAGCCAATCACCTCACGCAACAGTGGAGAGACCTCTCAGAGGCCTACAACTCAATCTGTCTCAAGAGAACTGTCAATCCAGAAGATACGTATTTCATAAGAACCATTAGCAATCCACCTTAAAAGGCAAAATAAGACATACCTGGCTACTCCGTGGCACACTAAAATTGTGCATCTAAAATGCAGCTCTAGAAAAGATTCCAGTTTGCTGCTTATATTTTCTATTCAGATATTTGCATATTCTAATCATAAAACTACCTGGTCTATTAATTTGAAAATAAATTTAACAAATTTTGGATTGTTTACATCCAGATAGACTAATTTAACTGTCCCTTGTATTTCCTAAAATGAACTTTGAGTCCTTTTGACTTCCCAGGAAGATCGTATCTCTCAAAAAAAGCTTTCATGATAATCTGCCTAATTCGTTCATACTATGATCCAGATTCTCCCTTAACCCCAAATGTGGACACTGCCTGCAGCTGCAGTAGTGCCAAGGCATTAACAGGTGTACTTATCCTAGTGCACCCCCCAGGGTACATACACACCCCCACCCCCAAGAGTGGGTGGGTAATGATGTTTATTTATCTAGAAAAATTGCTATTTAATTCAACTTTAATATTAAAAAAAAGCAGTAAATGATGATATTTAAGATTGTCACAGACATTTTTTAGCCACACTGCTACGCCACAGCTGGAAGTTAAAGCCTTCAAGCACCAGCAGGAAAAGTGTAAGTTGTATTTCTGGTCTTAATATCAAGTATCAACCACAGTTCTTTCCTGAAGTAAGAATTTTTAATCAACACAGAGGATTAAAAGTGCTTACAAGCTCACTGAGTCCAATTATATTACTATTTTTCTGTTTGTTTGTTTAGTTGGTTTTTTTTAAGTGTCAATTCATTCCTTCTCTTTCACACATGCTTAAGATACCTACAAAGTCAAAAGCCAGGCTTTGGGAATTGATGTAAATTCTCTGGAAATCTCAGTCCCAAGAGACCACAACTCCCAATCCCTATCCTCACAGCCCCTAATAGCCTTTCACTTTTTCAACTGGATATAAAAACATATAAAATAATGATAGTTCAAAATTATCTTGTATTTCAAAAATCTGTTCCCACAAATTAAAGCCTTTGTTCCCTTCCAGAACTCACATATGGCCCAATAATTGCTCTAACTCCATCAAGCCAATTGGGAAACTCTTGAATCATCTAGTGTCAGGAAACAATGGCACGTAAAGAGAGAAAGGAAGGAGGGAGAAAAATGTCAAACCCTAACAAAAATGCAGGTTTTTTCTAATAAAGAGGAAGTATGCAAGTGAACATTGGCTAGGAAAATTAAACTTTCCTCCTAGCCTCAAAATTTATTGTACATAAGTATCCCTGGCAGTATGATGCCAGAGGCTACTTGATTTCATCTTCTGCTGTTACAGATTGCTCCAGCCCATTTGCATTCTGAAAAGAAGTTCCGTGATCTTTCATGTTCATAATAGATGTCTAAACCGTTAAATTACTATTTCTTTTCCTATCTTGAAAGACACTGCACTTTAACAGCATGGTCCTTCCATTGTTCTTTACACCAAGTTGGGTCCCTGAACAATAGTGACAGCTGCTATCAAACCGAGCCACGCTCGCTCTGGGTGCAGCTGCCGCTTGTAGGAACAGACAGCCTTCTGATGCCTCCTCCCCTCTGGGGAGAGGGCTTGACACGCTGCGTGCTCAGCGAGGGGGAGCAAAGGTCCACTGAATTGTCAACTCAATTTTATGCTATTCAGATTTTCCAGGATGCACACCATCCCTTTCAAACAAAATCAAGCATATGTCAGAGCATGAAACTTACTGTGTTGCACAGATAATTATTGATCGTGTAAGGCTGTAAAAGATGACTGTGACATACATCTAATTACAGCATTATGTATATGCAAGCATCTACATGGTTAAAGAAGTTTTGTGCCCAATGTGTTCATTTCCTAATTCACACTTTGGGGTTTGTATGGCATCATTCAGAAGACACGGGAAAAAATCTCTCTTCTGGTGAATCTTAGATAATTTAAAAATGAAAAAGGTGGAGTCTTCTGTTTCTGCTTCCAAAGAGCATTCCCCCTCAAAAAAAAGTTCTTAATTACATATGGCACTTGTAGATCCTATTGCGTTTAAAAAGCTACATGGTACAGACTTTAAAAACATGCTTGAGATAACAAAATTTGGTTTAGCAAAGTAGAAATATCCTCAAAACAGCAAGCATTTTTAAATGTTTTAAATAATGTTTTATGAGTAAATAGAAATATGTATTAAAAATAGTTAATTAAAAAATGTTTTCCATTATGTTTTCATCCTAAAGTAATTCATTTTCAAAAAAGCAAGAAAGTACAGCTCTCTAATCTTCGCTAATCAAATACCACAAATGTACATGTGCCACATTTCAAAGATCAAATCAGGTATTCATAAAGTAATTCATTACACAAGCAAAGCACAGAGGAGATTGTGACAAATACAGATGTAATTGTGTGGGTTCTAAGATGTGATTAGCAAATCAACTAAGTAACAGTCAAAATTTGAGCAAGAAAGTACAGCTCTCTAATCTTCGCTAATCAAATACCACAAATGTACATGTGCCACATTTCAAAGATCAAATCAGGTATTCATAAAGTAATTCATTACACAAGCAAAGCACAGAGGAGATTGTGACAAATACAGATGTAATTGTGTGGGTTCTAAGATGTGATTAGCAAATCAACTAAGTAACAGTCAAAATTTGATACGAAGGGAAAAAACAGCTCAGATTTGGGG